ACGCAACTCTTCAAACTGTGCAGGGGACGTCAGTGTGCCAGGTGACCGTCATAGGAGCCATCGTCATCCTCCTGTACGCATCCAGGGCCTGCTACAATCTGGTCGTACTGGGACTCTCAAACAAGAGTATCAACTCCTTTGACTACGACTGGTACAACGTTTCAGACCAGGTGAACCACCAGAGGTCATGATGCCTTTCAGGAAAGGGTCGGACATTTTTGGAAATATCCTTATGTGCTGTTTATCTGATTGTTAGATGAGAACATTGATAACCGCGCTCTGTATTTAAAATACCAAGCTGCAGCCAGGAGTTGATTATCTGAGCTTAGCATAAAGACTGGAAATAGTCCACTAATTAACATGTTACATCTCATTTGGTGGCAAGAGGGTTGCATGGAGACTTTAAAGGATCAGTGTGTTGGATTTGTTGTGAAGTGTGTAGTAATGCGCCTTTGTCTACAGCCAATGTTTGGTTTGTGTTTGCTCATCCTAACGTGACAAAAACATAATGATGCTTATTTCTTAGGCGATTATACACAAATGAAAATATTATATTCCATTTCTGTCAATAGATCCTCCTAAATGTTACACATTGGACCTTTTTACCATGATTTTTAAAATAATTTATAAATTTTTAGCACTTTTCAACAATCTATTTATTACTTTTAGTTAACTATTTAGAGTTCTCTGCTCGCTTACTAATTAGTTTTCATCAATCGTACAATCCTGTTGTTCAGGTAGAGCTGATTCAATATGTTGATATATAATCAAGCAATCTTATCACGTCCAAGTACCCCTGGTAGGCAATCACTGGTTGTACACGCTGTATTAACTATATGTTGGCCGGGCATAGCAACTTCCTGCAGTCTTTTTAGGACTAAGGTAAGCTTATTGGCCGCTTTCTGTAGCTTCTTATTTACAGACATGAGATTAATATCAATATTTTCATTAAGTCTTAGCCAGACAGCGAATGAGTGCATTTCACAAAATGTCCAACTATTCCTGCAAGTATTTTATTCAGCAGTGATTGATCAGGTGCATTGTTGTTGTTGAAATAATGAATGAAATAGATTTCTTTGTTTGTTTTTCAGGCGGATTTACAGTCGACTCTGGGCGACGCCGGCTACATCGTCTTTGGAGTGGTCTTGTTTGTATGGGAGCTGCTCCCCACTTCCCTCGTCGTTTTCTTCTTCAGAGTTCGGCAGCCCAACCAAGACAGGGTGAGTCAGCAATTAACCTGGGAGTCAGGAATCTTCCCAGGGGGTCGCGAGATAAATCTGAGTGGTCGGGAGAAGATTTATAGGAAAGCAGATAAAATACTGTAGTTCAGCTACACAGAATCTGTCTCCCTTTCTGTCCTGTATTTCTTCAGGCCTTTAAAATGTAGTCTTACTCCTTGGTAAAACTGCTCACAAGTTTATTTTTTTTACAAGTTTTATTCCATGCACATTACAATGTAATATACATTGTTATCTCAGACAGTAGTGTGTTGTTTTAGATGGGTTTTTATGAATGAATACAACAAAAATACATTAGTTATTACTGTAGATTTCAGAACGTGACTGGTGTTTAAGGGAGAGTGGGGAACAGTATGTCAAATGCATTATTATACGTCATATATACATATATAAAGCTAACCAGTAACAGTCTTAGATTAGATTTGCTGTCATTTAGGATGGGAGAAAAGTGTTGGTGACTGAGGAAATTAAGGAAAACAGCAGCATGCGTGAGAGTTAATAGTACAAAGCGGACCTTAATCTGTCCACCTATAGGTCTAAAGGTTTTATAATGTAAGAAATTCACTCCATCTTCTACTCGTTTGTTGTCTTGTTTTCTTGTCCTGCAGAGCGTCTCTGGGCTTCCTGGTCATGTCTTCTCCTCCAGGTCTTATTTCTTTGACAACCCGCGGCGTTACGACAGTGACGACGACCTGGCGTGGAGCGTCATGCCTCAGAACATCCAAGCCAGGTAAAAAAGTCACGATTTAAAACCACCAAATCACTGTACGTGAAGCAGGAACGTGGCTAAAGGGAACAGAGTTCAAAACGCTTGTTTTATTTGATTGTCCAGTCTGGCTGCTGACAGCTACGAGTGGGGGAGCCAAAGCAGCGGCATCGGTGCCTACATCGGAGGGGACGATAGTTACCACCTCCCACCTCCTCCAGAGGAGCTCAGCCATTACTGACTGGAGTTCCCAGTGACTCCCGCTGACCTGTGGCATTGTTTTTGTATTTGTATATTTTTTGCACAGTCTCTCGTAGTGACAGAGGCACATGGGGCCGAGAAGTCGCGCTCTACTCGATACATTCAGTTTTCTACTTTGTCTAGAGGAGAACTAACAGACCTTTCTCTCTGCCAGTATATGAAGGTCCACTAATGGGACATTAATTTTGCACACTCCTTGTATAAAGTATGATCTAATTTTAACTGCTCTTAAACTTTTTCATTGTATAGTTTTTATTGAATACTGCGTAATATATTTCCTGACTCTTGTAATATGTACTGTATTACTATTTTATGTACTGTCTTTTGTTCTTTTTCATACAGATGTTGTTTATATAGAAGAGATATTCATTTAATTCATATTAAAAAAGTTAAAATGCTGTGAGAAATGCAGTTCATTTTTAATATCATACCAATACTTTATTGATAAATCATGTTGTGTTGGAGAAACATGGATTTCTAAAAGGATAATTGACTGATCACAGTTCTTCTTCTTCACACTTATTATAATATATAACTTAAAATATCTGGAATACCAGACAAGAAACAAAAAACAAAAGCTGTGCATTATAGTGTATTGAGGTATAGCTATCTATAGAGCTATGAGTGCATTGTTCCAGGCCAGGTAACCTACTGACATAGTTTATTAATGGGTTTCAGTTTTATAAAATCTCTTAATAGAGCCATCGTGGGTGCATCTTTTTTTTCCCCAGCTTAATATTCAGCATCAGATCTTTAATCCGCTAGTTGTGTGTGATGGAGGGATTACATCTTTCTATTTGAATATTATTGAGCATGCAGCTACTAGAGAGGGGAAACGCAGTGACCTTCTGCAAGTGAGCAGGGCGAATCAAATCATCTGGAACTGAGAATTCAACCAAAAATAGCAATAGTACGAGACGGCACAATATTACAGCGTCATGCCTCTGAAATGGAGTCAAAAAAGGATGACGGAAAGGCATAACAAGGCCATTACGTGGTGAATGGTCACTGGGGTCAGTTTGTATCCTAAAAAGAACAATGTCCCATTCCTCATCTGACAACAGTACCCCTACATCATCTTCACGTTGTTCTCTAATGTGAGATATAGATGGATTATATCTATCCGTGATCTCAGAATAAATCATTGAGAGCCTGCCCTTATTTATTCATGTTGACCTTTAACGAAGAATCAAGGCGAGATAAAGGGGGGCTAGTTGGAAGAGTAGTACGAAGTCCCTGATTTGTAGCTAGTGGAACAAGTGAATATTAGTCAGTTAAAGTGTTTACAGTTTGTTTATGTAATATTTTTAAGTCTCTGGAGTGTTCGAGTACATTAACAGACTATGATGGTGACTTTTTAAGGGGCTCCTCAGTAAACTGCAGCGCCCTCAACTGTTCTGATTATAAAGAAGACCTTTTTTTAACAAATAAGACTGTCAGAGGTTTTTAGTTATGAATCTAATAAAACTGTCTCATTCTGAGAGCGGGAGAGGCACAGGAAAATGTATTAATACCAGAGTTTACAAGTTAACTGTTCTTAATAGTTGTATCAGTTTTCTCTCGTATGAATCATGAAATCTATAGTTTTTTATCTTGATATTTTCCCCTTTAGGAGCATGCAACATTGCCTTTCTTGTTTATGTAACATACATCTTGAATCCTGAATCACATCACAAAAAGGTTACATAAAACTATCTTACATAATCACTATAATAAAATGCTTACTGACTGGTAATAATGACTAATGAACATACAGGAAAGCTTCTCCGAACACAACCAGATGAACGGAGCAGCTGAAAAAGATATACTTTCCATTCCAGTGGGGAGCTGGGTGGAAACCATTTGCTTTGCTCCAGTTAGATAGGAAACAAGCAGTGGAAGAATAATAAAGCCGTGTTTCACTGAGTTAAACCACTGGTTGAAATTGAGGACAGCTGACACTGTGGTTCAGAGTTGGGACATTAAAAGAACGTTTATTAGATTTTCAGTGTCGGAACAAACGGATCAGCAGGCCGGACGTGTTTTTGTACTGTCACCCCATTTTATTGACGAGCTGTTTTCAAAGATGGTTGCGTTCTAAAAGCACTTAATACACGATGTAGCAATGGAAACGGACACAAGTTAACATTTTTAAATTAAGCAAGTAGCTGATTGTGAATGTACTTGTGAGGCTTAAGTTTAGAGGCGGTCTGTATTGGTTTTTAAATGATACAGATTAGATTAGTAAGTCATTTTATTAGAGCACTGATTTGTCATCTAATGAAGAAAGTGTAAATATAAAACTGAAAGACTGAAAACTAACTTTGGTACATAGTGCAGGACATTAAATAACCTCATCACTGAAATAGTGTAATACTGTAATACTTTAATCACATTATCTGATTTCCTGTCGCTGTAGTTTTCACAGCAGCAAAGACAACACTACAGATAATATTGATTGGGTGAAAAAATAAGTTAAAATTTGCTGTTGAGTGAAGTATTTCTTTCCTCTAAGTGTGAAGAATTTCTTTTCCATTTTGAGTCCAGAAAATGAAAAAAAAAACGAATAACTGCAATCTGATGTCGACCTGCAGAGGGCAGCACAACACTGCACATAGTGCAAACAGGACCACAGCAGAGGCAGTTAACATACTGCACTGTGTCCTTAAACCACAGGGAGATGTACTGTATGTGTGTTTCTTCTTAAATTCAAATAATCTGTTGTCTTTAGAGAAATCAGGAGGAGCAACATCATAAATGACACCGTGAGCGTCTACTGTGCCGCAGATGAATGAATTCAAACTAAGACCAACGGATTTCTGTCAGAAAAAGGGTGTTTTTTTTTTAATTCAGATCATTCCTCGTATTATTGCAAACTCAAGCACATTTTGCCATACAGTAGCTTATAACAGCTGATTCCATGTGAAAAGCATAACACGTCAAGCATATGCAGAACACTGTACCTTTTAAGAAATTAACTGCAAAAACCAAAATATGCAAAAGATGAAGATTCTCTCTGAGCTTAATTCCTGTTTGAATTGATTTTCTGAAAACGTCTGCTGTAATGTAAGCGTTCCACCGAAGACGTGAAAGGAAAAAAAAAAAAAAAAAAACAATCCACACAATCCCTTTCAGTACAATGTCATGACATTCAAGGTCCGCTGGGTTGCCCAGGTTTGCTGAAAATGAACAGGAATCACTTTGTATTTGTTTGTTTTGTCTCCATAAGCATGGATCATCCACCCACTCAAGCAAAAAGTCAGCTGTTTTGCCATGTAAAACACACACACATGCTCTCTATAGGCCACTTTCTTAGGACAGAGCACTTAATGGCTGTTTGGAGGGGGAAGGGGGGGGGGAGCAGGCTTCCCATTAGCTGGGATCCGATGATTTGCCGAGTTCAACCTTTACTCCTTTTTCTCCTGCACCTGCACACAAAGGAAAGACAAACACGAGAGATGACGTGAAAGAGCGTAAAAAAACCAAAAAAAACCACTGAAACAATAGAAACAGGATTGTGCAGTTTTGCACATGAAATCCTACCAGTTAAGTACTTTTCTTTAGCTCTGGCTCGCTCGTCTGCGTCAAAATACCACACCGTGATGGCATACCTGCAGAGAGAATTAGAACAATGAGTCACCGTGAAACAGACCCGGATGATCTGAGCGCGTGCAGCGGAGAGACTCGAATGCCGACCTGGTGGCGAAGGCGGGCTGAACCTCGTGAGGGTTCCTCCTGTCTGACCAGAAGAGCAGCAGACGGTCAAATTTGGGCTCTATGTCGGCAAACTGGGCCTTTCCTTCTGGGAAGATTCGAAGAAGGCCACCGTGTTCCTGGAAGAGCAGAACAAGAAGAAACAACCAGTTATGTATACAACTGAGGACAAAGCAATAGCAGGAAGGTAAAGAGAGACGGTTGGAGGCCAACACTAAGTGAAGCCTATGCCGTGATCACGCTTGTGGGTTCGATTCCTGTCGTGTTCATCCACATTAAAGAAAAAAAGTCCAGATTCAGGGAGAGGGGATGTCTCTTAAAAACTGCATTTTTTACACATATAATAAAGATTTTTAAAATACACCTCATATCTCAGACTTTTTAAATGATCAACATAGGACGACAATGTTAAGGAAAAGGGTTGTCCGACTCCAAGGGCTAGGAGGAAAGCTCAGGATCGGAAGCAGCAGCGGGGGGCGGCCTTCCTGTGGAGGGATAGGAAGAATAACTCACAGGAAAACTGCTCTGGCTGGATAAAGGACCTGGAGAGTGAAAAAGCAGATTGCTGTAAGCGTGCCGCTTAAACTCTCACACAGCTGATATGATAGGCCCCTCTCTTCACACGCAAACTAGCAGAAAAGAGTTCACACCCTTTGTTGGAGGAGTAATGCCATTTCCATTTATACTACTTTGAATGAGGGGGAATGCCGGTGGTGTGACCAAACTAAATAAGGCACAATAGGGTCAAAGAAGACAGGAGAAATGTTTTTTTTCCTGCAACACGTGAGCACTGATTTTAACAACTGTTTGCACGTATAACCACACGGTGTCGACGATCACAGTGCGGGCCTGTAGATGGATTTGGGCGAACACCTTCGCCTGCAGGACATGACCTTCTGACCTACGGATGGGTGACAATTTAGAGGCACTGACGCGACGGCAACGACTAGCGCCGACAAAAGCCGACTGTCGCCTCACGTTGCGTTTAGGCAAAAAAAAGTGAGACTAGAACACACTGCACGGACTACAGCGAACGGCCAAGTAGCACGTACATTCTCCGCCTGCGTGAGAGGTGATAACTCTCCATACCAGAAGAGGGCGGTAGTCTGCATTTGTCATTCAATTTCAAAAAAGAACACTGGAAGACAAAGAAAATGTCTGATAAGTTGAAAAAATTTCGTGATTTCTGCTTTGCTCCCTCTCTTGCACTGATTTGCTTCAGTCAGACGGCCAATGAGAGTGATATCTAACACCAACGGCCTCCACCACCGATTACACATGCTCGGTCGGCCAGAAAAAGTTACAGACACTCACCGTTGAACTGGTGTGTCAGCGACTTAAGGGCAAAACCAACACAAAGCTCCCTGGTGTTCAAATGATTCATTCAAACCACTCAGTGACTCAGGATTTTTTCTTGAATTTGTCTCCTGTCTGTACATCAAGCTGATGTTCTCTGGATGCGTACAAGCAGTCAAACTACACCGTGACCCAAACTGGACTGACCTTTGACATTTTTCAAGTTTTAGAAATAAAAGAAAATATTCCTTAGAATACAATAATTCTTTTGATCTGCAGTTTGTATCATTTCGGTGGGAACTGGTTTGACCACAGCAGGTTTTATTTTAGGAGAATACTTCTCATTCTCATACAGCACATTAATATAAAGTTCTATAATTTGCAATATTTAGCCGTAATCGACTACATGGATTTTCATGGATATGCAACCATGTTTCTTTTTAACCCTTTATACCTATAGACCTTTAGGTTGCTATGCAACCATCCCCAGTTTTTCATACTATTTATGGTTGTAATGTTTTCTGCAATAGTATTTACATCTATTGATACCTCTCTATATCATAGGTTTCATTGTTAAAGGTCCAGTGTGTAACATTTAGGAGGCTATGTGTATATAATATATATGTGTGTATGTTGTCATTATTGTATAATCACCTGTATATAAGAATTGTTATGATTTTCTTACAATGAGATGTTTTTATCTACAGATGTCGAAGGTCACCCTCCGCCACGTTCACCATCATGTTTAGTAGCCCAGAAGGGACAAACCCAACCCTGGCTCTAGATAGGAGACGTCCACGTTTTTCACGTTTCACAGACACCGTAGTTTCTCCTTCGCGCTTGAAAGGGGAATGTCAAGAGATCTGCAATTACACTTCTAGATGCCACTAAACCCTAAAACACTGAACTTTTAGTGTACAGCTCTCCATTCCTGCGCTGGATTTAAATGGCTTATTTAAATATATTACTTTATTGAAATCAGCCTCATGTTTATTCTCTCACAGCCACATCAGAGCTGTTCACATGGTGTATTCACAGTACCAATGTACCACCAGTATGAATGTTTATCAGTAACAAAGTTTCCTGTTTAATCAGACCTCATACTGGTGTCATTTCTGTTGACACTTTAGTGTTTAACTGAATTTACAGCTAATGCAAATCAAACATTAATGTTTTTGTGACATCGGTTAGTGCTGACTGTGATTGTTCATCAGAAAGATGCATCTACAAAAACAAGGCACTGGATCAGTTTTAAATATTGCATTAAGTAATGATACCAGGAGGAGCAGCCTCAGTGCTGCCGACAGAGGGCAGACTACCTCAGCAAGGTAACCAACTCCTGTTTACTTCGTCTCAAGGAGTGTTTGCTGTAGCATTGAACCACACTCGCTGTTACCCAGACAACCGTGACTGTCACCAAATCAACCAGGAATAAATCTTCGGTCTTCGGTCGACAAAAAATGTCCTCAAACGCGGCTGTTGAACAATATTCGAGCTGTGTGAGCGTCGAGCCCTGTGCTACAACTCATGCATCCTGCTGTAAACATATGCCTGAATTTCCTATAGAACAGAATAAGATTATACATCATTTTTCTTTGTTTTGATATCAGCATTATATATGTATGTGTATATATATATATATATACATACATACACACACACACACACACACACACACATATATAGCTGCCATCGGCAGCCTTGCTCTCTAAATATCCCACATCGGTTCGACCAGTATTAAGGATTATAACTAACACAACAGCATTATTTAAGGGCTTTAATTCAATATTCAGCTGTATATTTGTAACCGTCTTATCTTTTTACGCTGTTCTTTTTGAAAATTACCCAAAAGACAAGCCCTTTGAGGCAAATTTGTAATTTTGGGCTAAATAATAAAAAAAAAGACTCGATAAGAATCTTATCAAGACACAAATATATATATTTCATGTTTATATTCATGTAGCTGTACTTCAGTGGACTGTGAAACTTCTACCACTGCCCACACACAGAACCAGCAGATGGTTATGAAAATACCAACACAGATTATTTCTAGAAGTTTGGTTTGTAGTGGGTGGAGGAAAAAACAGCGGATGGAACAAAGCGTTTTTTTTTTTTTATGTACGACACCCTGTCCAAGCTAAATAAAATCCAGCCAAACCTGACACCCACATGGCTGCTGAGAGCCTTAAGCACAAAAGGAAGTCACATGGTGTACCCACAGATACCAGTATGAATGTTTATCAATAACAACAATGTGTCTTGTTTAATCAGGCCTCATACTGGTGTCCCTTTTGTTTGACTTTCTTTAGTGTTGAACTGTTGGTGAATTGGAGGCATCTTGCTCACACTGGTAAGGTGTTGGTGTGACTGAAAAATGTTACTATCTTCAATCTGATTCATGTGATGTGTGAGGGTTAAGGCTGTATAGTTATGGCAGGAATGATGTGTCCTGATTGCTGAAAAGTAAGAGTGGTGTAAATGCGTTTGTATGTCTCCACAGTGCGTGCCAGCTGTAGCAGACCGATGACCTGTCCTTGTCTCTCACACAATGTATGCTGGGAAACACTCCCACCCCCTGCAACCCTGAGCAAGGTAAGCAGTTTAGAAAATTAATGGATATTCTATATCTTGCTGCAGCAAAAACATTACTCTATGGCACTTTTGCATCTTAACACACAGCATTCTGTGTTTCTCAGAATAGCAGCAGTTGCTATCTCATCAAAATTAAATATTGAATAGCATTTTTTTTTTTGTGCAGATTAAACCCTAAAGCATATTTTGAATCTGTACTAGTTATAGAAGGGAAAGTATCTCCAGCGGCTGACTCATTTCCCTCCACTTTTTATTTTTGCTTGCCTGAATCTTTTCCCTCCCACCAGCGCGGCTCGTTTCTTTTATTTCTGTCACATGGGTGCACCGGGGAAAAAAGTTGTGACTGGTCATGCATAAGTGAAGTACACCATTTACCACACTTTGGGACTTTGAGCAGACTTGGGAATATAACAAATAATGCTCCACACTTCTATGACTATTAAGCGCTGAAAGCACTTTATGCATACAGAACACATGCAGCTAACTCAACAACCTATACGTTGTACAGTATTGACGCAGTTTAAAGGACATGTTGGTGAAAATTAGGGGATAAATAACTGGAACAACTGAACCTGAACATTCCAAAGCCATGTCATTCTCTCACGGAACCCCGGTATCCAGGCAACCGCATTCTATGAAGGACCGCTCATCACACGCCTAATGAAACAGCCAATCAGAGGCCAGATTGGAATTACTGTCCATAACATGGCTCATTTGAATCACTGAAGCCTGTGCATGAAAAAAAAACAAAAAAAAAAACAGCAGAAAGCATGCAACAGGGCAGCGTGACCCACCTGATGCATGTTGTTATAAGTGTCAACAGGAAAAGAAAAAAAAAAAGAGTTCTGTTGGCTATAAAGAGGTGTGGTGTGCGTACCCGAGAACAGGCCCGGCCATTTGTGCCCAATGTGCAGGTACACTGGTTAAAGAAGACGCTTACTGTGCCTGCGGGTTATGCGAAACAAAAATCATGATAACAAATGCAAAACAATGCGCATCAACAGAGAGGAACAGCAGTCACATGTTGAAACCGGATCGCTATGGAAAATTAGGGATGCATATTGATTTTTTTCAGGCGATAAAATAACAATAATGACTTGCTTCTCATGACCGATACCGATAAGATGACTGATAATTTCACGTTTCTGTATTTTAAAAAAAGAGTTTCATAACCTGTAGTTTATGCATGCGAGATGGTAAGATAGATGTTCTCACCAAATCTAACTGAAAACAAAAACAAATGACAGCTTTGTTCAAATGTAGTATCAAAAAACTTCAAACTTTCATAGAGCATAAAGTCTGAAATACTAAATTATTATTAATATGGACCAATAATTTGTTCAGCTGTAATTCTTACAAATATACATTTCCCATTATCAGTCACTGATGTATCTGCCCTGATAATTACTGTGCATCCTTAATGGTAATGCAGCATCAGTGAACCTTACTTAACAGTTTGAGTACTGATCCATTAGGTGTTTGTTATTTTAGTAGAAGACAGGTCCCCAATATCACTGCATTCAAACTGCCCTATTGCTTGTGTGATGACAGTTAATAATGGTCATAATGGGTTTAGTTCTCAGAAAGCAGACTTATGCATGTTTGTGGTAAGATGCATGGGCTGCATTCTATCACAAACTAGTATCCAGAGGCAAAACAGAGTTTCCTGTAATTACGTAATTTTCATATACAGGTCTGGAGGTCAACTATTTGAGGAAATCTGGGAGACCATCTCTACTTATGAGTCTTGTAAAGTCCTCGGAGAAGCACAAAAACCACCATTCTGTCCCACAGTTGTTACTTTCTATTATAAAGACTGTTGTTACTTCCTGGCCTTTATCATCCTGCTTATCTGTCTCTCAACCTGGCAGATGACATGAGGTAGAAACAAATTTATGTCAACAAAGGTTGTTGTGGTTATTCTGGTCAGCCAGGAGGAGCACCCAGAGCAGGCTAACAGCTGTGTTTGGGCATTGCGGTGCCTTTAAATACTGAATTCTTCCCTTCACATTACCATCAGTAGGTTGGGTTATCACATTCGCTACCGTATTCCACTGGACACCCTCTCTTATACAGTTGTGATGACACGGTGATGGCTGTCAGGCTACAGACTATCTGCTTTATGATGTGCTTGGATTAAATGCAGTTTTGTTTTGATGTTGATTTTAGTATTTTATTGGTTAAAATTGTCTCATCTTTGACAACCCTTAAAAAAAAGGTCCACTGTGTAGGATTTAGTGACATCTAGTAGTTAGGTTGCCAGATTGCTACCAATTGAATACCACTCGCAAAAGGCCCCATTTAGAGCCAGTGTTTGGTTTGTGCGTTCTGGGCTACTGTAGAAACATGGCGGTGCATCATGGCACTGTGGAAGGGAAATATTATATCCCTTTTATACCATGATTTCTACCAATAGGTCCTGAAATCTTACACACTGTCCCTTTACATGTACGGTACAATACTGAACTGTTCTATTAATTTGAATGCATGAATGTTGCATGCCTGTATTTAATTTATTAAGTCACACATGGGCCAGGTGGTTGCTTTGAACACAAGGTGAGTCAGTGACAGAAAGGCTCAGGCTTTTTCAAAGTTAATGTATTTGACCTTTATATTAATATTTCTTCGCAAAACACAGGCAAGTTCATCAAAACACCATAATTATTTGAAATATATATAGTAATTTTACAGTGATACCATAGTAACAGCTCAATGTCTGCCTGTGAATCCACTTTCCTGCAGGAGGAACAATGGATGTGTAAAAAGACAGCATTGGGGCGCTCTGCTCCCTGACTGGGTGTGGCTGGATTAGCAGGATTCTCTGAGTTTTAATGGGATAATAAATGGGGAGAGTGGCCGAGCAGCACGTACCGGCACGTAACCTATAACACTGACTCCACTCGAGTGTGGAATAAAGCAGCATGGAGGATGACGACCCAGCCACAGTGACAGGAACTGTCATGTGTTTCTGACAGGAAGTCCAAGTGGAATATGAAGACCAGACACAAGGCCTTTCTGCAAATGATTTTGTTTTGATGGTCATTTTAGTGATAAATTGAAATCACAATTGAATCAAGCAAAATTTGAAACAGAATTAATTAAGTTCAAATTCAAATCAATAACACTAACGAACATTATTTCCTCCACATATCACTCACATACCTTGGCAGTCCAGTCTTTATTAAGGTAATATATGCATGTCACACACCGCCCGTCGCCATTGGGGTTATCCACATGGCGCACGTATCCTGTCCCGTTTCCAGGGTAACATGCCACCATTGCCTGAAGACAGGAAGATGAAAAAGCATGATTAGTAAAAAGCAGATACGTTGTGACGAAAGCACAAACGTACGCATACAATCTCCTACGTGTCGTTAAACAAATCAACAGGTGTACAGCAGGAACATAAAGAAGGAACCGTCAAGGTCACTTTCAGATTGTGCACATTGGTGCAAATGCAACGGCCGGCGTGTATCCAGTGAGTTAGAACCGAAGCTGTGGAAGCAGCTCAGATTTGCCTTTGTTTGCCCGTGATGTGGATGCAGCAGACGGTCTTGGCACAGTCAGATTGCATTGTTCTTGCCTCACCTGCACTAAGACTGACACAAGCAGAGACTGACACAACACAGCTGCCTCATTATAAACTTTAAACTAGCGAGGAAATAAACCGGAGATATCATGCTGCACGTCAACTTCCCCTTGCCTTTTCCTGCTCTATTAAGACTTGCATGATCTGCTTGGGTGTTGGCAGTGAACCCCTATGAGCTCTTGTAAACTTCTTGGTGTAAACAGCGAGCTAACGCACTCATACAGCACTGTAAGTTCCCTTGGGAATAAGACACACAGACACACAGACACACACACGGTGACTCGCATAATGCCGGGAGGACTGTGACTGTCATTTTCTTCAGAAATAAGACTTCCATGGAAGACACTAATAGACATAAGACATACATTTTGTGAGAGAAAAAAATCCATCTGTCTTCATAATCTTAAATCATTCAGTTCTTCCAGGGCCTGTGATATCAGACTGCATATAGTATATCAGATATTAGACCACAAGCACTGGAGATTACAACCAACACCAAAACACTGTGCGTCTCTTCTGACATGAAAGAGGAGGCGTGCCGCGAACGTGCACAAATGCAGAGGGCAGATTCAGCCCTCATGCACCGTGTCTAAGCAGTGATATGACAAACAAAAGGCAAGTTCCTCCACATTCTTCCTTGCACTTGGATCAACATAAACCATAGCAACATTATTATAAACACTCACAGCAGACTAAACTCCTTCACTTGGTCACGTGCCAAGCAAAATAAAGTTCTCCCAACCACAGAGAAATGATATGGTTATAAGCTGTATTTTAAAATATTTGGACTTGGACAAAATCAACTAAAACTATGTCTAAAAGGTTTATGTCATTGTACTATATAACAACTGTATTGCAAAATCTGTGCGTGCAAATTCTTGCAAGGCTCACTGAGAGAGAATTAAATCATTTACATCACACATACGTCTGAATCTTATTTTCCTGCGCATCTGACCATAGTTGCCTGCGTCAGTCCACATTGTGCTCACATCTTTTGAGTGATGCAGGTTACCACTGGAATGCACAATATCAGGGCCTTCAAAGCCAAAAAACAACAAAACTCCAACATAAAGACAAGGAGAGGTGAGGAGTCTTGCTCCGGCTGCACAGACTGACAAACTGCTTTATCGATTTAAAAAAAAAAAAAAAAGAAAAAAGGGTGGGACTCGGAAGACACGGCTGCTGGGAATAGAGGCGGGTAAGGGGCACGCAAACTGACAAAAGGCTTCCTGTCACTAAAAGGCAATACAGTAAGCGGGGGGGGAGAGAATGAGGGAAAGAGGCACAGACAGAGAAAGCAGAGGGGTGGGGCTGGAGCTGAAGAGAAGAGTGAACGGCTGTAAACTTTGACTCCTGGCCTCCCTCCAGCGGGAGCAGTATTTTAATGGTTGTGCTACGTGCAGAGCGTGAGGAGGGTTGGCTGATCCTCGGCTATGTCACCCCTCCCACCCTTAACTGCTTGGCTCACGCTGCAAGGCTAGAGATGGGTAAACAGTCTCTGCTAGGAAAAGTGTGTTTGTGCGGATTCAGATGTGCAAGGATGTGTGTGTGTGTGTGTGGGGGGGGGGGCTGACTGAAGGTGTGAGAGCTTTGGCACTCAGTGAAAAATCGGACACAGCAGTTTCGCCTTTCATTTCCTTAGGCTGGACAGCTGGTGAAACTCTATAGAGCTTCAACTACGGCAGGAAAGCTTAACTCCAGCACAAGCTCAATTATGCAATTGTGAGCATGCTGGCTAGTGTTGTTAATGAATGATTTGCACTTCTCGAAACCTCAACAAAAGTAAAACAGTAATAAAAGCTTGAATAAAGTAGAAATTAACATATGACATGACAGCATACAAGCACATGTGTACACCAACTATGTGCAGAAAATACATGGAAATGGAATGCAGATATGCTATCTGTAAATGTCAACCTTGTAAGTGAGTGTTTAACTCCAGTTTGCCTTTCATGTGTTCTGATCATGAAGACCCAGCAAGCTGAAGAACCAGGAGAGGATTGATTGATCAATTCCTCAGTCACAGAACCACAGATGGCTCGGAGCTAAAACCCCGAAGGAAAATGCAACTTCGTACTGGCAAGATGTGGAAGAAAATCAATGATCCTCCACAACAAAAGAGATGTATTACTACTGTATCTGCTATTCCCTTTCTCTGACTGCACCACTACAAACTCAATGTAGGTAAACTAAATGCAATAATCTTGACAGAATTCAATATTTTAATATAGCCTGGTTTACACTGCAGGAGGGTTTCCTTCCTTGCCATCTTCACCTCTGTCCTTTATCCCTGTTTGAGCTTCCTTTCTTCTCAGCCACTTATTCTTCCGCATTCTTCGGTGGCCCTCATTAGGAGTTTGACCTCGCTCGTCATGCCGTTTATTTACATTCCACAGCCACGGCTTCGGAGGCCGACTGGCATTTACAGGCAAATAGCGAGGAGTAGAGGTCGTCAAAACTAGATCACTGAGGCCAAATTAAAGGCAAACGTTATGCCACAGACACATATATATGTGAGCATCATAGCGTCATAAACACCAACAGTCAAGGGTCACATTAAAGAACGGTTTCAGTGGCATTAATGTAGGTAATAAAAGGAAAACGACCAGCATTACAGCTCTGCTTTAAGCCTGTTCACTGCAGGTGTTGGTGTTTATACAGTTACTTTAATATTTCCTTTTGTCTTGAGACAACGGCACAGCTGATAGAGGTCATTGTAATATCCTTGAGCATAATCAGTTTTTGTTGGGCATCTACAACAGTTCAATAACTGAAAGATGCTCAATCCCTTTATATGTGAGCTGGACACTAAAGACAGAGGATCTCTCTATGCGGGAGACACTAATCTGTTCCATGCAAGTTGTGCGCTACTGTTTATTTTTCTATCTCATTATCGTATTTGTCTCCGACAACTGCAACTCAAACCTCAAATAAATCAAGCTTGAACTGGATGGGACATGACGAGCACAAGCAAGACTAACATTGTTTATTCGAGGCTAGACCCACAGATTTACTGTAAACTAAAAACAGCTCTTCTGAATGTTTTTCTTCATGTACTCCCAGTTCAGTTTAGGGATACAACTGTGTTCAAGTGCTACCACAGTAATATTAGTGTAAACCAAAAGCTTACATTTGATTGACTTCAAAAATACAAGCTGCTATGGGGTTGATAGAAATATTACAGTGATTTCTCCATACCTCCAATGTTACCACGCTAAGTGTAAACAGGTGACTATGCTGGCAGTTAAAACACTTCATTGGTTAATCAACTTAAGTCAGACATGCAGAGGCTGCCATGCTATGACTTTATTCAAATAATCTGTCTGTATTATAATAACAAAATAACTAGGAAGTAGGGGGACACACAATACTGTCAGTTAAAGTGGGAAAAGCTTGAATTGACATCTACTTCAGTGCAGCCAGTGGAAAAAGCTGCAAGAAACACTGCTCAGCAGGCGTGCAACTCCAGGCCAGCTCCCATACCTTTGGATAATGATGCTTTTTACACAATTAGTGTTTTTGATGTCAACTGCGGCGGTCAGCTAAGAATTTCCTTCCCTTGCCCAGAATGTAAACCTATACCATATGCTGACAGTTTCATGTAGAACAAAAATTAGTTCATGTGAATGGTTCTGTGGAGCTGAGAGAAAACCTCAGTGTCTCTGCTTCATGGGGCCATTTGTGGTACGCCTGCAATTTTGTCTCGACTGCCACAGAATCATAAATAATACAAATTCCATTAAGAAATCAAATGGATATATAAAGCTGTGCCAAGTGGTGTTCAAGTGAAGAAACAGCCCTATTGTCGCTCATGTGGGTGGAGAGGAATTTGACCAGACAGAAGGAGCATGCTTCAAAACCAGTTCTCAAGGTCTATTTCTGAAAGGAAGTGAGTGGTTAAAAGGTAAAAATGCTTTTCATTAACTAACTCCAGAACTGGCGCCTGTAACCAGATAATCATTTTATTTTAATAATTTTATTTATTTCAATTCTATTATTTGTACTCTATTATTAATCAGCTTTATCTTGTAGAGAATGTTTTTCTTAAACCTTTTACAGTACGTTATCATCATTAGTATTTAATTCAGAGAATCAAGAATATTTCACAATGTTCTCCTGAAAGCCGTAGATAAAAAACATCTTGTTCTAAGATAATGAAAACATGATTCTTATTTTCAGGTGATTATACACTAATGAGCACATACCTATGAATATTACATTCAATTTCTGCCAATAGATCCTCCTAAATGTTACACTCTGGACCTTTAACTTAAAAATCGTTTCAGCGGCTAATATATCTGAACATATGTTATGTTCCAAAAAGACCTCAATCGTCTCTGTCCCCAAAAAAGTCCAAAGCTCTCTCCCTGAATGACTACCACCCAGTAGCACTTACTTCAGCCATCATGAAGTGGAGTGAGCAGTTAGTCAAAACCTTCACCTTCTCCCTCCCTGACTCACTGGACGCACTTTAATTTGCATACTAACCAAACAGATCAGTAGATGACGTCATTACCTCGGCCTTCCACACTGTCCTCTCCCACCTAAACCAGAGGAACACATAAGTGAGAATGCTGTTCAGAATTCACCATTGTGCCCTCCAAGCTCTTCATCAAGCGCAGGGCTCAACGCGGCTCTATGTGACTGGATCCTGACCCTGACGGGCAGACGCCAGGCTGTGTGGATAGGCACC